ATGCGGGGGCTCGATCCCAGGCAGCTGGGATCATGACCCGAGCCGAAGGCAGACGCTTAACGACTGAGCCACCCAGGCGCCCCTAGAACCTGGATTTTTTTAATGATTGGACTACCCTAAAATATGATCACCGTCCTTGATGGCATCAACCATTTTCCTATCTGCATAAAGCCCACTTCTTGCATAATGCCCCCTTGATGGCCCACTTTTCCTCAGATACCACTTAGCTGTCTTTTCCTTGCATTTATTGTGCTTTTATGGTATATCTATCTTCCCTTTTAGATCGCAAATGTGATCAGGACAGGCAGCATGCCGGCTGCGTTCTTTGTACCCATCTCATTTCCCATCCTTAGCATGGTCTGAATAACTGTCAGGTTTAATAATCCTTAGAGTTGGACACGTTGGGTTCCAACCTGTTTGTTTCTTTGTGAGACACCTTCGACTAATCTCCTTCTACATCAATAAAAATTCCACTTCTGGGTCCACATGAATACATATTATATTGTGAATTGAGTGAGGTTACTGTTTGATTACCGAGTTTTGGAGGAGGGAGGCACGGCCCAGAAGGCATACTTTAGGGAGAGATGTGTACGAACTGGGAGACACTGCCGGCCCCAGGGTCCGGTTCCGTAGCTGGTAGCCTTGCTGTGCGCCCGGGTTGAGAGGCGGGCGAGGGCGGGGCTGCGCAGAGGCGCTGTGCGAAGGGCTCTGTTGCCGGAACTAGTCCTAGTCGCGCGCCCGGACGCGCGCAGCGCAGCCCCTCCCCTTCCCCCTCCCCCGCGGGGTGGAAACAAAGGGGGCTCGGCGCGCGGAGCCGAGCCTAGGGGGAAAGGGGCGGGGCGTGTGGTGGTCTCGCGCTTTGTGCTCGCTAGGTTTGTTCCTGTTGGGGGACGAGGTGGGGAGGCGGGCGGCGACCTCGAACCGAGAAGTGGGAGTGCCGCGTGCTCGCGCATCTTGCGGCCTGGCGGCGAGGGGCGTCGCCTGCGCGCGCAGCGGAGGATAGTGCGCCGGCGCGGCACGCCGTGTTCGCGAGCAGCGAGGCGGGGTGCGGTGGGGCGGGACGGTGCCGCGGCCCCGGCAGTTAGGGCCCGGGGGCGGAGAGGATGGAGCCCCCGAGGCGTTAGCCGACTCTGTCAGCTCTGAGCGTGCAGCTGTTTCCTGGCGCGGCCCGTGTGATGGTGCCGGGAGGAAGGAAGCGCCGAGACAGCGCCTCGGTCGGAGCCCGGGTTCCGGGGGTTAGGAGGCCCGGGGACGGCGGACCTTGCGAGCTGGCCGCTGGCTGGGCGAGCGGTCACAATAGGAGGCGGCGGCCCAGCAAGGAGCCGCGGGAGCAGCCCCGCAGGGCGGAGCTTCCCCTCGCAGGTACTGGCCGCGGCCGTTGGTTCCCGCGTGAGGGCGGGACGGTCTGAGCCGCAGGCCGTTGGGAGCCTACGGGGCCGCTCCCGGCAATCAGGAGGAGGTGTGGTTGCCCGGTGCTTTGGTGGGGCGCGGCCCGGCTGCCCGGCGCTCTTTGTTCCCGTGGCGGCGGCGTGGAGGTGTGGGTGCAGCCAGCGGGAGCGCCGACCCGTCGCCGCCTGGCAGATGGCCTCTTGCGCGCGCTCCCTCCCGTTTTGCCGAGGCGCAGGTGAAATGATGTCACCCAGGAGAACGCGGAACCGGTTCCGAAGGGTCCTTTCGCGTCCTTCTGCTTTGTGGGTTTCTGGGCAGGCTGCGTTTTGTTCTCAGGGCATGGAAGTTCTTCAGGGCTGAAGAATGAGAGAGGTTGGTTTTGAACCGGGAATTTTTCAAATTATTGAGAACTAAAGAAAATAAAGTTTTTGTTTCCGTGTGTAGGACCTGTAAGAGACACAGTTTTTTCTTTGTGCTACAAAAGTTGGGTATGCTAATTCTTCCACCATAAATAGAAAGGCATACTTAACATATGTCATTGCTGGCATCATGTGAATTGCCTTCTCTTACGTGGCGCACTTCACTGTGAAAATTTAAGTGTATGCAACTCATACACAAGCGGTTTGTTACTTTAGAATTGCGAACCTTTTGGGATCCTGTTTGGCCTTGATTATAGGTGCTGTTGTTAATACATTTACTTAAGTTCCTTTCAATAGCAAGCAGCCCAGGCAACTAGGCTCAAGTTAAAAATCCATTCGCACAGTTTTTGTGAAATCAAAACTTAACAGAAATCTAAGGACAGTTGGGATCAAAGTAGAATTTTTCCTGTCTTCAGAGAACATACTGGAAAGGAAGAGATAGGACTTCTATAGAAGTAACAATACAAGACCAAATATAGTTGTTGGATCAGTTGCAGTGAAGTTGGGACATACTTGGAATCAAAAGATGAAATTACGAATTGGATTTTTAAACGAGAATTGTATCTCTTCACATACTCCTTTCTCCAGTTTTTTCTAACTTGTAAACTTATTGGAGTAATGTTTTTTTTTGAAAACATATTAAACCTTAAATCTATTCATTACAGGAGTTTAATTTTAAGTTGATTAATATAATTTTCTGTGAGACTTATCTCTGAGAGATTTGGTAGACTTTAAAGGCTATAGTTAAATGAATTTTACCACAAACTGGCCATGTGGGCCATAGGGCCTCATCTGCAAAATATGAAAGTTGGATGTAAATGATGTCTGTGGTCCCTCCACCTCTGATACCTTCTCTGATTCTGGAAGGTAGTTTGTTTCTGTACTTGTGGTGGTTTATGTACCCATCCTGTTTTTATAGCTGAACTAAGTTTGCAAGTATTAATGTGAGTAAATGTTGACAACCTGATTTTTGAGGGAGGGTAGACATAGGATGGCATAGTTAGACATAACTGAATCTGTTAGCATCATAATGTGGAGTGTAGATCTCTTGTCTCTCTTCCAACAGCTTTGGATGAACCTTTTACTTACATTGCCAGACTATTTGTGCTCACTTTTACTTTTTTTCAAGGTTGTGGGTGGGAAGTGTGGATGAGAAATCCTTGAATAAAAATCTCAAATGATCTGTATGGAAAGATCTTTGTCTTCTAGTCTGTTCCATCTATTTCTCTCTGTGCTGCCCGTTTTGTTTAGGCCACTGTCATTTTGTAATTCACTTTGCTGGTTTTGTGTAGTGTCTGGGTCTACTTACTAGTTTTTTGTTGTTGTTGTTGTTTGGTTATTTTCTTATTAACAATATATATCAGGCATGTGTTTTCACTTTTCTGCTTTGGTTAACTCAGCTTGCTTTATTTTTCTCTGGAGAGTATACAGATTGTAAACACATTTGAATATAGTTTTGGTCTAGTTCATTCAGCAAATGTTAAATTCTTGAAGTGACTGCCTTTGTGGAGGAGATGAAGCAAATGCTTTAATTCTGTATAGTAAATTAACAAGTGAGAAATTTGAGCAAGTAGAAGAAGAGGGTTCATTTACACAGTCTCAGTTTTTCCACAACTCTTAAATCTTTTCATGTACCTCTCTTAAGGACTTCAGCACCTTACCTTTTCCTCCTTTATGTTAGAGGGCCCTATTCCTTGTTTAGTTCTTGTGGAATTGCCTCTCATCAGACAGTCTCTTTGAGGGCAAGAATAATTTCTTTTTTTTCCCACGTATTCATAGCATCTAGCACATAGTAGACATGCAATAAATATTTGAATTATGAATTCAATAATAGTAAAGAGTCTAGTCACACTTTATCTTTTCAAATATATATTTATATAAATTTTTCATATTGATTTGGACTGGTCATGGTCTAGATACTTTCCAAATCTGTGTAATTCTTAAGAGATAAATCTTGAAGAGATACTTTAGAGCATTATGCTAAGAGATTACCAGCATAAATAAAATTATTTTAGATGTACTTCCTTGCTCGGAGAATAATCTTTGTGCCGGCAAATCTGGATGTGGAAGGGAAAGAAAAAAACTTAATTTTTTTGTAACTCTTATTTTTCTAACCCTTACGTCCACCTTCTCAGTAGATGTTACGGTTAGAGACCTCCTTATTGCATGTACACCCCCCTCCCCGCCGATTAATTTATGGGACTGTGGGGTTAGGGAAAGGATGGTGGAGCCTTTCAGCTATTTTCACCAAACCTTGTTGTGTTGTGCTTCCAGAAAGACATGAACCCAGTTTGTTGTTTGCCTTAACTCAAGAATGGAAGTAATAGTTTGTTTTAGAAAATGATTGCCCCAGTGCTGAACAGCAGTGATCTCCCTCAGTTAGGTAGTACCAGTTCCTGAATGGGTTAAGGCTGCATGGTAGTCCACCAAGCATGTTACCATTATTTTACTTAGCAAATGTTTATTTGTTAAACTTTTAGGTTACTTCTAGTTCCCTTTTTAAATTGTTGCTATTACTGTACTGTGATGAACATATTTGTGCATGTGGCTTTTCCCTTATTTTGGGGTATTCCCATATTGGAGTATAACCTGAGAATTTATCAGATGAAAGATTACTGATTCAGACTGTTCAAATAGTTAATAAAATCTACTTGATTACTTTCCAGGAGTTTGACATTTGCCATCATGGAAGCAGTGAGAATATGTGGATTTTTAGATAATTTGGATTTGACCTTTTCGTTTTTTAGGTACCCAGACTTGCACCTAGAGGAAGACTTGGAGGAGTCAACACTAAGCATCTGACTCTTCATCTTTTATTTTGGTTTGGTTTGTTTTTTTTCCCCTCTTCTAATAGGCTGTGATTTGAGTGCTTTTGACCAGTTGGTATGCTGCTAGTAACAATGAAACACCCCCCCCCCCACTGGAGAGTAATGTGGTTGTTTTGGGGAAGACTATTTGGCCTTATAGCAATTTATTTTGAAGAAAGTAGATTATTTTAATGCTGGCCTAGAGGTCATGTACCTGCATATCTTCTGCCTCACCTGTATGAGAAAAATGTAAATGAACGAAGAAGGAAGATGCTGTCAGAAGTGATTTTGGAGGAAGCAAGTTCTGGGACAATATCTGGACTCTAAGTCCTATGTTATTTTTAGCACCATGACTGATAATAATTAGACTCTTCAAGACAGGTTAAATTGTTTATATTATGGTTTACCACACGGCGAAAGGCCACATTAAACAAAAGATGGCCTAAAATAGTACCATATTGGTGCTTAAAAGGTTAAACTGTTTGCTGTAACTTTAGTCTTGTGAAACAGGTCCTTTTCTCAGTTATGTTGGGCGAATTAGTCATATAGTTATATGTAAATAAACATTAAAAATGAGAAGTGTGGGGAGTTGCAGATTAATCAGGTCTCAGGGATGTTTTCTTGGCAGGACTTTTTAAACATAGGTTGCATCCTGAGCAAAGACTGAAGTTACTGTATCTTTGTAATGTTCAACAGTTGCCAGGTTAGAGAAGAATACAATTGTATCAGTTTCCAATATGGTATACTTTAAGTAATTTTAAATGAGGAAGATTGAGGGAAGTAGTGGAAAGTTATGTCAGAAATAATTTACAAGGAAATATTTTTTGAATACTTAAAATAGACTTGGTGGAATAGTTTTTTATAATCCAATTAGATTACAAAAAATGTTACTTTTTTGGGTAAGTTTTATTTATTTAAGTAATCTCTACACCCAACGTGGGGTTTGAACTCAAACCTGGAGATCAAGAGTCACTTGCTCTTCTAATTGAGCCAGCCAGGTGCCCCAAGAATGTTACTTTTAAAATTCTTAAAGGTGTTTTAGTGGGTTGAACATGGATTTTAGAGCCAGGTAGACTTAGCTTCAAATTTTGGCTCTGGTATTCATGAGATATGTGGCTTTAAGCAAGTCAGTTAACCTTGACTTGCAGTGTGTAAAGATTAGAGAGCTAATTCAGTTCCTAGCATGAAGTTAGCTATTATCAGATTTTAAAAACTGCTGTATTGCTTAGATAAAAATGTCTTAATTTATATCTTTCATCAAATTAATACAACTAAAATTCTGTAGAAGAAACTTTCTTCAGGTGTGGTACAGCAATTTCTGTTCTATTCGATACATAATGTCATGTTAGTTTTCTGTTGTGTGTAACAAATTACCACACATTTAGTACCTTAAAATATGAATCTCTTATCCCACAGTTTACATGGATCAGGAATCTTGATTTGGGTTAAGCTGCAGGGCCCTCTGTTAGGGATTTTACCTCTCTGGTGCTGTGATGTCATGAGAAGTTTGACGTCCTCTTCCAGGCTCACTGGTTGTTGGTTCAATATGGTTCTTGGAATTGTAGGACTGAAGTCCCCTGTTCTCTTGCTGTCAACTGGTGACCCTCTCAGCTCCTAGAGGGTGCCCTCATGTCTCTGCCACATGGGCCCATTCATATGCCTTCTGACAAACATAGTGGTTGCCTACAGGGTTGACAGGAGAATCTCTTCAGGAAGGGTCAGTTCCTCTTCTAAGAGCTTTCTTTAAGTCGGGCTTACCTTGATTAACTTAAAATCAACTGACTTGGGATCTTAATTACACTTAAATCCCTTCACTTCTGTGAATGCATTCATATAATTAGGTTATATAATTTCACCTAACCATGGAAATGAAATCCACTCTATTTATAGTCCTGCCTACATACCATGGAGGGATGGATTATACAGGAGATGTGTACCAGAGGTGGGAATCTTGGAGGCCTTCTTAGAATTCTGCCTTACATGGACACACAAAATGATTATACGTGATTTTATCCAGTGGGTGCACCCGGTTTCAGGCCCATCTATCATTTTGTGCTGGATTTGTATTAACGACAGCATTTGAATATAGCTCCCCCCCCCTTTTTTTTTTGGTCCTCCCTTTTTATAGACAAATGGAGCTTTTGACCGAAGGAAATTGTTGTGGGTAGGAGAGGAATATGCTTGAAAATTACTAATTTATGAGCACAAGGGCCAGGGTTTGCCAGAGTTTTGTATTTGATTTCTTACTTATATATGACTGAAATCTTAAGTTTTCAAAGGAACAAAGAATTAAGGAGAAAGGAAACCTGACTCCCTGATCTCTGTTTGCCAAGCTAGCCACTTGTACTAGCAGTTTATAAGAGTGCTCCTCATGCAGACTGCTTCAGGTATGATAGTTGAAGATAGGTGAGCTTTTTAAAACACTCTTCAAAGGTACCTTGCAAATTATAAGCTTAAGATTACAAAAAGAATATGAAACTTCTGTAAAGAAACAGACTTAAGAGAATTGCTTTGAAGTGGTGAAAGAACTCCTTAGATTGAGTGAGGAGTCAGGAATGTGAAATACACTTCTTCCTATGAAATCTGTCTTCAGATAAACTCAAGGCTCCTACCTCTATTTTAATTTTTACCTGTATTCAGGCATTTAAAACATCATCTTTAGTTGGCTACTTTGCATTTTCTTTTTTAAACTAGAGTAAGCTCCTTGAGGGCAGGATCCATGTTTTGTCTTCTAACAACTCTTGACTTGCAAGAGGCATTCAGAGAATATTCCTTGATTCTGCACTTCGTACTTCATCATAGTGGTAAAGAATATTAGCACGCTCGTGTGTAGTGCAGAGATAAGCTTTAGCTCATGTTGAACATATTTTGTGTAGCAGTAGTAATGAATTCTAAGGTTACTGCCCTCAAGTGATTTTTACTCCTAGGAAGTTGTTTGGAAATAATTTTCGTCTTACCAGCAGGCCTGGTTATCTATTTACCAGGCTCATGGCAAACCAGAAACAATTTATAAAGGTAACAGTTAAGGAAGGTTATTATAGAAGTATTATTAATGTTAATTAGCATGCCACTTCATGATCTGTGTCTGCCTTCCTCTCTGGTTACTTCTGTACTGGATAGCCAAACTGAACATTTTGCAGTTTCTTGACTATACTGCTGTATTTTGCCAGTTACCTCTCCATAGCACCCAGTACCTAGTATAATCATAGGAAGATGATACTCTGTATATTGTATAGTGATTTGTTTTTGTTTCTTTTTCATGGCATACACTTCTTGAAAGTAGGAAACCATGCCTATCTTCTCGGTTTAGTGCCTGTCACAGAACAGACATTTGTATGTAAGGGAATGAATGAGACAGTGAAACTGAAAGCCAGACAGTGGTTTAAAGCACATGGTTTTCAGTGTAGGGGTAAGCACGTTCACACACCTTAACTCCCAAGGGTAGTAGTTCATTCCACAGCACAGTGGTACAAGTGATGCTCATGATGTCCATGATTAAAAGTGCTGCAGATTTAAGTTTATATTACATATGAGTTTAAGGGGATTAACCTATAATCAAGTCAAGCATTTAAAACGTGCAGTCAGGCCGCAGCTTCTGCCGGCGCAGGTGGTTGGGTCGTCGCTGCCCTTGGTCGTGGGGTCGTTTTTGGCATCGAGGCCACAGCACTCAGGATGAACGTAATTCAGATTGTTCGTGACCACTGGGTACATATACTTGTGCCCATGGGATTTGTCCTTGGATGTTATCTAGACAGAAAGAATGATGAAAAGCTGACTGCCTTCCGGAACAAGAGTTTGTTGTTTAAAAGGGAATTGAGACCCAATGAAGAAGTCACCTGGAAGTAAAGGCCCCCATGATTGAATTACAGAATGTTCATATTTTAAAAATTAGGAGAGAAATAACACATTCGTTAGTTAAAAAAAATAAAAATAAAAAAATAAAACGTGCAGTCATTTGCTTTGGGGCTTATGATCTTACCCTTTATTCTTAAGGTCACTAGTTTGTGTTGAATAGAGCTGAGCTGTCCACAAACTCTTCTTTTTTATACCTATGGTAATTATAGAAGGTTTGCTACAAATGTTCTGAAATCTGTCTTCTTTGCATGATCATACAGAAGGTTAATTAAAAAACAATGAAAAAATATTAATCTTAGTCACGATGGACAGTAATCTTTCTGTACCTGAAACATGATTTTACCTCAGGTTTTCTTAACATGAAGTCTTATCTACCCTTGAGGATTTTAGGATTTTAGAATTAATACCAACAGAAAAGATATTGATATTTTATGGGAAACATAGGAAGGACCTTGCATTTTTGAGCAGTGCTGTTTTGTCTTTTAAAAAAGTTTTTGTAAGAGATCCGTTGCCAGAGGCAACCTTTGCCATCCTTATATTTGTTTTGATGTTTAAGATTTTTAATTTCTTTCCAGTCTCTGCTAACACACATACCTAGAAAATCCAGACTGTCCTTCATAGACATGATTCTCCACATTGGTGCGGCTAGCCATGAACTATCCTTTTCTTCTCCCTCTTTTTCCCAGATATCTCCCGGGTCCAATTCAGCACCTCTACCTGGCCATCCTAACAAGGTGATTTGTGAAAGGGTGAGACTTCAGAGCCTGTTCCCTCTCCTCCCAAGTGATCAGAATACTACCGTTCAAGAGGATGCTCACTTCAAAGCTTTCTTCCAGGTTCTTATATATTTACCCTTTCCCTACGTAGGGCTGAAAGTCACAGATACATTTTAGGTTGTTTCTAGGAAGGCTTAAAACAGAATTCTCAATATCTTCTTCTTATTTTCTGTTGTATGTGGGAATAAGTATTCTTCTTAGAGGACTTCTTCAACATAACTTTTTAGCCAGCTTTTCTGAAGAATGTTTGTCTTCTCTTGAGCTGCTGTTTATTATTTGACCACTTAATATTCTTGTTTTTTGATCTTTTGGTCTTAATCACTTGTCCTAATAGGCCAAGTTCTATAGGAAAGTAGATACATGAAGTTGTGTAGGAATGGAAAAATGGAAGCATGCGAGATAGTTTTTAAAGCCGTCACTACTTGCTTAGTGCCCAGAGTTTGATAGTGATGTATATTTCAAAAAGAAAACATGGTAACTTGCCTTCTATCACTTTTGGTCCCTGTAGGTAAAATGTAATTAAAATTTTTGTTATATATAAAATGAAAATAAATTAAGGCAGGGACTATCATTAGTTTATTGACAAGATTGCTAGGATGTGCTCACATAAATTACTGGCAACTCAATTTCCAATCCATTACTCCTGGAGAAGCATGTTTTAGTAATGGAAGTCAGTATTAGTATTACCAAAAGGAAACTAGTTATAAAATTGCTTCTGGATATTAGGGTTGTGGGCCAAGGGATATATTTGTATATGTGTGTATAAATCTGAGGTAGTGAGAGTCGCTCATCAAAGCTTGGACTTTTGGATAGAACTGGCTCATTTTCTGTTTGTGTGGGAGTGGTAGGTTGGGGCTTGGGACTAGTTCTGAAAGAGAAATGCTTGTGATACATTAAATTGGAGGTGTGAAATTTCTGAGAATAGCTTTGTAGGTGATCCATGGCTCTTCAATATGATATTCCTTGTTGCAATTTGTGCCAGGTTCTCCTCTTTGCATGTTATTGTCTCCTTTGTTTTTAATCCTCCTAATAATAAACCAGTCATGGATGGTTTTCTAGATGAAGTAATAGGCTCCAAAAAGCTCTCTCAGATGCCCAGTTACATAGCTAGTTATTGGCAGAGCAGAGACTCAAATTCACCTTTTGCTATTTCTTGTCTGCTATAACATACCACCTTTAGATAACAGGCATTTCTGTAAATAGTACAGTATATGTTAAGAGACATAGTTATCTGTATTGAAATAAGTGGAGTATCGACTACCATTTTTGATACAGCATTGGTCTGTAATAGCTTGATATTTAGTAGTAAACTAGTGTAGCTAAGGAAGAAATTGACTTACTACTTTCCCTACTGCCACCAATAAACAGTTATTTGATGTTTTCTTTGTTTTCCGTACTTCTTTGAGTCTTCAGGCATTAACTCAATATTAACTTTAAACTCAAGAAGTTGCTGGCAAATGCAATATTAAATATATGTTTTGAAAACACAAAGAGCCAATTCCACTTGAGTGTTGCAGAAAGGTGAAAGGTATTATTGTTAAATTTTTATTTATAGCCCTAGTTAAACTGAAGTCTTACTTTTTTCTAACTTTAAAACAAGGGCCTCAGTGTACTTGGCTCCCAGGGAAGACTGGAGATTTTTCTCTGCCCACTTCCTCACCTACCACTGTTGTGCATGAAGCAAAGTAAATCCTTCTCACATCCCCTTTGAGATACTGTCACATACCTTCACCTAATTCTGATAATACAATTGGGTATGATTTCTTGTTCCAGTTATGCTTCTCTCATCCTTAGAAAACTTAGTTGCCACGTGAAAGGGAGAAATCTACCCATTTCTTATCCTTGGAGTTATTCTTTTAATGTGTTATGTTTTCATTTCTTGGCTCTCCCCCAAGTTCCTTCCCTCCCAGCTTTTTCTGCTGCTTCCCTTTGGAATACTCCATTTTAAACAGACTCACTTACCTCTTCCATTTTTTTTTTCTTAAAGCATCCTCTTTATTCCCTTATCTTAGCTGAAACCAGTCTCTTTTCAGAGGATCTCATTTTCCCTGCAATCTTGTATATGAGTAAAAAAAATTGTTGACCCTCCCCTCCCCCACTTCAAGCATGGGAATTGAGTATGTATCCAGTAAGTGGGACGGTCGTAGAGGAGAAGGAAAGTGTTTGATATTCTCCTGGATCCTTGTTTCCAACCACCAGTCATCTTTGAACAAAAATCTCATCTGTTTTTGAGCTATATTTGTTATTCATCTCCACTTTATCAATTTTGTCACTGTTCTTATTAAAGACCTTTTTACTTTGCTTGTTTTATATTACTCTTCGTCAGAATCTTCCAAAATTTGCAGGCTCTTTTAATTTTTAAAATTACAAAAATATTTCATATGTAAGTTATAAAGTATAAATCCAGACACATATAATTTTAAAAATACCATCCATCTTAAGAAGTCAACCATTACCAGTATTTTAGAAGCATTCAAATGACCTTCCATATTATATCTACCTGCTGTCCCATACCTGTGCCTTGGGTAAAACTCTGAATTTTGTGTTTAATACCCCTTGCTTCTCTAAGTGGTTTCACCACATGCAGTATCCCTCAATACTCTACTGTTTAGTTTCTGAACTTAATATAAATGGTATGATACTTTGTATTTTTGTCATTTTGAGATTCATCCATGTTAATGCATGTGGCCAGAGAGTTGATTCATTTCCTTTTTGTATTCCATTTTACATGAATATGCTGACATTAATATGTTACTCAAAATTTGGGTTTTCTTTTTGATGGACATTTCCAGTAGTTTCCAGTTTTTTACTATTATTACAAGCAACGTTGCCATGAATATTCTCGTAGGCGTTTCAAGATTTTATTCATTTGAGAGAGTGAGTGAGCACCAGTGGGGGCAGAGGGAGAGGGAGAAACAGATTCCCTGCTGAGCAAGGGGTCCAATGCGGGGCTTGATCCCAGGATCCTGGGATCATGACCTGAGCCAAAGTCAGATGCTTAACCAACTGAGCCACCCAGCTGCCCCTTAGTTGATACTTTAATTTCTATAAAAGTGATGGCTTTGTGTATTTGTTACCCTGGATTTTCTCACAGAAGAGATATAGGTGTAGGCACATTTGCATCTCTATAAAAATAAGTCTATATTCAACATTAGAATCAAAGTACCTACCCCCTATAATTGTTTTAGAAATTTAAAGTATAATTAACATACAGTAAAATTCACCCTTGTAGAGTACAGGTTTGTGACTTTTGACAAATGTATACAGATGTGGAACGACTGCCACAATCAAGATATGTTCTAATATTTCATCTCCCAGAAAAATTCCCTCTTGTCTCTGCTATCTACCCCTTATAGTTTTAAAATTAGCAGTTTCTGTACTATCAACCAATTCATTGATTGCAATTGAAGATAGGGTGCTTTCATAAAACAGGTACCTTGTGGGGAACTTAGATTTCGTGTCTAGGAGAGCCCTTGATTTCAGGTGTGTGTATGTGTCTTAATGATAGCTGTGTGATACTTGATGTTGTAAGTTTATGAAAGTTAATTAGGTGATTGAAATTTTCATGATTTATACACAGAAATAGACGTCTCTGAAAGAGAAAACTATTGTAAAACAATTTCTCTTCTCCAGCAAATTATAGACTGAATGAAAATTTCAGCCAAAATATCAGAATTTTATGATTTTAGAAACTTTACAGAGTCATCCTAAATTCATAAGAAAGATTTTCAAAGAAAAGACAGGGAGAAAAAACTATTTTGAAAATTGCTGTAAGAGGCAATATGCCATAATAGATACTAAATGAAATAGCTCCATGTCAGTGAGCTGTTTGTTGTTAAACACAGTGGATGTTTTTCAGTCCCCAGCTTAATGTGACCTCTCAGTTGAATCCTTGAAACTCCATTCCACTGGCTTCTCTCACCACACTCCACTTTCCTCTCATCAGCTACTCGGCATAAAATATTTCTTAAGAGTTCATTATTGGGCTTCCTTTTCTCTGTATAAATTATTTGGGGGGAAATTTGTCTATGCCTGTAGCTTCATTAACCTGTCCATCTATCTGTATACCAAAAACTAAAACTTCTAGTGTCTGAGCTCCAGCTTTCTGCAGAACAACTCCACATGGGTATGTCAGAGGGATTTCTTGATTTCAGGTTGTTCTTAATATCTTCTCTGTTTTCATTGGTTTCATGTTTATGCTTCAGGTTTTTTTATTTTAACCATTGATTTGTGTTTACAGCTTAAAGTTATAGTTGCAGATTCATGATGCATAAAATCTAGTGTTTTTGTGGAACTAACAAACCATTTGGAAACATATTACAACATCAAGGTAAATCAGTTTTTGTGAACCAGTGATGTTTTGTGTAATTAAAAATTAAGAAAGGGACACCTGGGTGGTTCAGTCATTTAAGCATCTGACTCTTGATCTCAGGGTTGTGAGTTCAGGCCCCACATTGGGCTCCACTCTGGGCATGGAGTCTACTTAATTTTTTTTTTTTTTAAAGAAAAAATAGGACATTAATATGTTATTCTAAAGTCAGGGAGCCCTAGAAGTTGGACTATGAGTTATGGCCAATGATAGTATCATCATGTTTTCACACAATATTGGATTCCCTTCATTATGATGGGATTGCAGTGCTATACCACTAGAGTCCCTATCCAAGCACTCACTGCACATAAAAAAATCTTTGGCCTTTCATGAAAAAACACAAACTTGGATCATATCAAAAGGCAAATTTCTGATTTTTTTTTAATGCATGCTTTTGAAAAATACAGTATTCAAAGCCTCCTTCCCCTCTATATGTGCAAGATAACATCTGAGGAAAATGTACTGTTAGTCTTGTTTATGAGTTTAGATTTTATTCTGAAATCTTTTGAGCTGAGGAATATCAGAGCTGTGCATTAGAAAATTGAAGTCCAGTGTGAATTATGTGAAACAGGACTATGCATTGTGTTGTTCAAAGGCAGTAGTCATTCAGTTGTCATTGGTTTGTCTTGACTAATAGCAATACATCAATCTGGATATAGTATAAACAAAGACTTCAGGTTGTGGAGAATTAAATGAGAGAATGTAGAGAGATCATTTTATAAACCATATTGTGTGATTAAAATATGAAATTATTAATTTCTTGCTTTTCCCCTGCTTATATCTTTAGTTTGCAAAACAAACCAAAAAAATGGTCCGTCTTGGTGGTTATTCTTTATTACCGACTTGCTTTATATGGAGTGTCTTCTAAGTACTTTGACATCTATTGTTTAAAATGAATGGAATTCATTGTTTTCTCTCTCTGGGTCATTTAAATTTAACATTTGTTTCTTAATTGTGAAATGAGAAATTTTATCTTTTGTCGTAGATAGTTAAGGCAAGTGGAGAAGGTATGGGTGTTTATTTTTTTTAAAATTTTTTGAGAGGAAGAGTGAGTCAGGGCAGGTTGTCGGCGGGGAGACAAAGGGAGAAGGAGAGAATCTTAAGCAGGCTCTACGCCCAGCACAGAGCCTGATGTGGGGCCTGATCTCACAAGTCTGAGATCATGACCTGAGCCAAAATCAAGAGTCAGACATTGGGGGTGCCTGGGTGGCTCAATTGATCAAAGCATCCAGCTTGCTTAAGATTCTTTCTCTTCCTCTGCCCGCCTCCTTCTCTCCCTCTCTTAAAAAAAAAAAAAAAAAATCGATGCTTAACTGACTGAGCCACCCAGGGGGTCCCAAAAAAGTAAATTTCTCTTTTATGGCGGGTTTATCCTTAGAGACTTTTCCTAAGAGAGTTCCTTAATTTGGTTTGGTGGTTCTCAAAGTGTAGTTCCAGACCAGCAGTAGTAAGCATCACCCACAAACAATTTAGAAATGAAGATTCATGGGCCCAACAACCTGGTGGTTCTGACACATGCAGAAGTGTAAGAACCACTGGCCAACTTAATGGGAGTATCCCTCCAGATTCTGCTTTGCATTTACCTCTGTCAAGAGTCCTTGTGGTAGCATAATTCTGAACCAGTTTCTATATTTCTAAGCTTAGAGGTTCATAGGCAACCTCTATGGGTAATGAAAAAATTGAATCCCAAATTTGGTGTGAGTAGCTAACCTGTGGTTTGAGTTCTTAGGAGAGAAATCTCTTCTCCAGTTCCTAGTCCAGACAGAGTAGATATGTTTTCTTACGATTCTCCATGCCAGTGAACTTTTTCTAGTCTTCCTTCCTTCCTTCCTTCCTTATTTAAGATTTAATTTATTTGACAGAGAGAGACACAGCGAGAGAGGGACACAGTGAGAGAGGGATCACAAGCAGGGGAAGTGGGAGAGGGAGAAGCAGGCCTCCCGCGGAGCAGAGAGTCCAACGTGGAGAGTTGGGAGAGTCTGCTTGAGGTTCTGTCTCCCTCCCCTCCACCCAGCACGAATGCTCTCTCTCTAGAATGAATAAATAAGTGTTTAAAAAATAAATGGTCAAGTTCCATACAACTGCTTATTGCCTTACTGTGTACCTTATATGTCGATGAGTTTTTAAAAAAATTTTTTTATTGTTAATCACCATACATTACATCTATGTCGATGAGTTTTATGATAATTTTTAAGAAACAGATTTTACTTTTCATTTGATAGTTACTTTGCATCTCCCTTCCCTTACCCAGCATCTTTGGTTCTTTAAAGATATTTAATTTGGGTTAACAGCATATTTTTCCCTTCCTTTACTCTTGAAGGTAAATATATTTAAACTCCTATGCGTATATAGTAATGCAGAATTCTTATTAAAAGTCTCATTAAGTTGATTGATTTTTTTTGCATTGGCAGAGTGAAGATAGTCCGAGTCCCAAGAGACAGCGCCTCTCTCATTCAGTCTTTGATTATACATCAGCATCACCAGCTCCCTCACCACCAATGCGACCATGGGAGATGACATCAAATAGGCAGCCCCCTTCAGTTCGATCAAGCCAACATCACTTCTCAGGGGAACGATGCAACACACCTGCACGCAACAGAAGAAGGTTAGTTGATTACAATGTATGTCTTAAATTTTCTTCCATTGGTAGATTTATGAGATTTTTTTTTTAACGTCAGAAAGCATTTTTCCCCCCTGTGGGTATTTTATGAACACATCAGCACATACGTACTCACACCCACACATGAAAAACAACATGACACATTGTTTAGACTCCCACACTAGAGCATGAGAGTTCATTTAGCTTGTGGTTGACAGGTGAAGAAATTGAAAGACGCTACAGTGACTTACCTAAAATCAGTCCATGCCATTATGTATGAATTCAGCTACTTTATGGTTTAAGGCTTTGTGTGGGCTAGCCTGCAATTTTGATTACAGAAAAAGGCATTTTATAGTTCAAAACTGTAAGGAAATATGGAGACCCTAGAAATGAGCTACCTTTTTTTTTCACTCCATTCCTATTTCTTCTGTATCCTTAAGGCAACTGGGAGCTTAATCAGGTTTCTTATAAAACTGTGGAGCCTGTGGTGTGAAAGACTCCGTGAGGTTTACTTCAATGCTCAGTCCTCTCTGTCATGGGATTTGGCCTCTGGCTTTCCAGAGGAATATATTTCTTCTGAGCTTCTTCCTCTTCAGTTGTGGCCTGAGGTCATACATTTCTTCTTCAGGGAAATTGTGTATCCTTGGAGTAAGACAAGGGTTTGCATGTCCAGGATGTTGGTAATCTTAAGAAACATTGCAACTCTTGAGTTAGGAAGGTGTTATGGACTGAATGTTTGTCTCTCTTCAAAATTCATATGTTGAAGCCCTAATTCCCAGTGTGGTTATATTTGGAGATGGGGTCTCTTAAGGAAGTAATTAAGGTTGAATGAAGTCATAAGGGTGGGGCCCTCAATCCAATAGGATTGGTGTCCTTAAAAGAAGAGACACCAGAGAGCTCACTGTCTCTAGCATGTGAGGACACAGTGAAAAGGTGGTCACCTGCAAACCAGGAAAGAGCGCTCTCACGAGAAACCCATCATGCTGACACCTTGATCTTGGACTTTTAGTCTCCAGAGCTGTGAGAAAATTAATTTTTGTTGTTTAAGCCACCTAGTGTGTGGTATTTTGTTATGGCAGCCCTGGGAAACTGATACTGAAGGATCTTAAAACCACCATTCTTGGGACACCTCGGTTAAGTGTCTGCCTTCGGCTCAGGTCATGATCCCAGCGTCCTGGGATCAAGTCCCTCATTGGGCTCCCTGCTCAGCGGGGAGCCTGCTTCTCCCTCTGCTTGCTGTACTCTCTCTCTCTCTTTCTCTCTCTGACGAATAAATAAATAAAATCTTAAAAAAAAATTAAAAAACCACCATTCTTTGTTCCAAATGAGAAAATAAACCTGTTTCTGAGTTACATTCTGTTGAGACACTAAGACTTTTACATTACTTGGTGCATTTTCCCCTAATTTTATGGGAATGTTTAAGTTAAAATAATGTATGTCAACCCAGGTAAAATATTTTATAGCTGTTAAATATAATAGCATGAGACAGTATGGTTGTTTGTTTCAAGGTTACAGTCTAAGCACCTGCTGTAATCTTCTCTATTGTATTATGGTGAAATGTGTCATATGTTCAGTAGGGGCGCCTGGGTGGCTCAGTCCTTAAGCGTCTGCCTTCGGCTCGGGTCATGATCCCAGGGTACTGGGATTGAGCCCCACATCGGGCTCCCTGCTTGGCGGGAAGCCTGCTTCTCCCTCTCCCACTCCCCTTGCTTGTGTTCCGTCTCTCACTGTGTCTCTCTCTGTCAAATAAATAAATAAAATCTTTAAAAAAAAAAACAAACATGTAAAACAAGCATACACTTAAAAGGATAACACAAAAGTGTATCAACACCCAGGTTAAAATAGAACATTGTTAGTACTTCAAAAGCACCTGTTCATTCTTCCTAGAGGATAAACCCTGTTCTGTGATTTGACATCATTCCCTTGTTAATACTTTTTAATACCTAGGAATGTATTCTAAAACAATATAATTTTAGGTTTTGCCGGTTTTACTTTCATTTAAATATATTCTCCTTTGATTTTGTTTATCAAACATTCTATTTTTAACGTGGATAGCAGTAGTTCATTTATTTTTACTTGGTATAATCTTACATTATATTGATATACCATTTATCCATCTATTGAGTAATGGTTATGCTCAGTTTCTTACTATTACAAAGAGTGTTATTAGGAACCTTTTATGTACACATTTCCTGGTGTACATGTGGAAACATTTCACTAGCATATAGTCCTAGGAGTACAGTTGCTGGATCATAGGAAAGGCTCTGGATCAGAAGGGGAATGTCAGAAGTGCCTATTTCCAGATGGTAGTAGTAACTAGCTATGGGTTGTTAAATTGAAGAGAAGCATCATGCTCTAAGCTCATGGAAACACGGGGGGAGGATAGGAGGAAGCACTTACCTAGAAAACTTAAAGGCTTATTCTGCCCAGTATTGTGTGTTGTTCCTTACCCCATTCTCCTTTTAGTACTTCATTGTAGGCTAGCTTTAAGCTTAGCTGCCAGATTGCCTCCCAGAAGCAGGCTGTGCAAGCAGATACAGTATTCAGCAGCAGTCTACCATAATTTAAGATACAAAGATGAGCACACGAAGTGAAAGAAGGACACTAAACTCAGTAAAACAAAGAACTTAAAGAAACAGTTAATAGAACAGACAGAATTTTTGAGTAAGTGTAACATGAGAGAGATGCAAGAGGATGTTCATAAAAGTCAACTAGAAACCTTACTAAGGAAAAATTTAGAATTCAGGAAATGTGCAGAAAAGGTGTCCTAGTTTCTGGAAGATCAAGTGGAGAGATTTTCCCAGATGTAGTGTAAAAGGCAAAATGAAAAGTGTGGATAAAAAAGTTTAAACATAGAGACAGAGCCATCAGTTCTGAGTATGTCTAATAATATTTTCAGATGGAGACAATTGAAGGGACCTTTAAAAAAAAAAAAAGATTTTATTTATTTGACGGAGAGCACAAGCAGGGGGAGTGGCAGGGAGAGGGAGAGGCAGGCTCCCCGCAGAGCAGGGGGGCCCCATGTGGGACTTGATCCCAAGACCCTGGGGTCATGACCTGAGCTGAAGGCAGTCGCTTAACCAACTGAGCCACGCAGGCACCCTGAACGGACCTTTTAAAAGAAATAATGCAAAACCATTTCTCAGAATTTAAGAAAGACTGAGTGTCGAACAAGACTGTGGTGAAGTTACAGAACATACACCAAGGATAATAAAAATTCACAAATGTTCCAAGACAGAAACTTTGAGTTCTGCCAGCTGATTTATCACTTAAGTGTAAAGCCAAATTATAAATACATTTCAAATATTAAGAGACAGAATTGACCAGCAAGAAATCCTCCCTGAAAGAATTGTTAAAAATTGTACTCTCTCCAGGAGGCGGAAAAATGAATGCAAGAACTAGGATTCAAGACCATTGGTTAGCAAAGGAAATGAAAAAGATATACTATTAAGAATGAGTAAAGGTCTGTTGTTTAAAAAAGAGAAAGAAATATGGAAACGATCTGCACATGAGATGGGGACAGAGTGGTGAGAAGAGTATAATAAGTTTTCTACCTGCCAGGAAGCTGAGTAAATCTAGGTGTTTTTAGGAAAGTGTAGGTATATATTTAAAAATTAAGGGTAATCACTAGGAGAATAGAAATAAGGAATGTATAGCTTCTACACAAAAACAGGTAAAACGTATAGAAAACTCAATCCAACATAAGGCAGGTAAGAGGACAGAACAGCTTTGTGGCAAATGATACACCAAAAATTAAATGACAAAATATGATAAAGTCAACTGAAAGAAATATTTGTCCATATTTTATTATCATTATTTATTCTAGATTTTTCAATTCTGCTTTCTAAATGTTGTCACAAATGCACACATAACATTTAATGGGAGGCCATATAGTAAAGATAAAGGGACCAAATAATAGACTTGAATGTCAGCATGAGGACTTGGATCTTAATTTGTGTTTCGTTGGGAGTGCTGCTGAAATTTTTGAGTAGGAAAATAAGAGCAAGTGGCAACAACAGAATAAAACAATAATAAAGGGGTCCTTAAAGTTTATGTATAGGTTGAGTAGATTTTCAGGAGATGAATGATCTGAGCACATGTACTCTATTTTGATTTTAAGGTACATATTTTCCCACATCTTAACATCTATTAAGGAATTAGAATTGATGGTATATCATAGTTTAATTGGCATCTTTTTTTATTTTTTACATAAAACAGTCTTTTATCTTATATATTTATTTTAAGATTTAAGTAACCTCTACAGCCAACTCCCAACACAGAAACCTGAGATCCAGAGTCACACGCTCCACTGACTAAACGAGCCAGGCGCCCCATAAAACAGTCCTTTAAAATATTTGTACAGGGCGCCTGAGTGGCTCATTCGGTTAAGCGGCTGCCTTCGGCTCAGGTCATGATCCCAGGTTCCTGGGAACGAGCCCTGCATCGGGCTCCCTGCTCAGAGGGAAGCCTGCTTTTCCCTCTCCCACTCCCTGCTTGTGTTCCCTCTCTCGCTGTGTCTCTTTCTGTCAAATAAATAAAATCTAAAAAATAAAAATAAATAAAATATTTGTACAGATAACAGCGGCGCCTGGGTGGCTCAGTTGGTTAAGCGTCTGACTCTTGGTTTCGGGCTCAAGTCATGAACCTCAGCGTCGTGAGATAGAGCCCCATGTCGGGCTCTGTGCCAGGCATGGAGCCTGCTTAAGATCCTCTCTCCCCGCCCCCCGCTCCTCCCCACTCCCCCCAAAAATACATAAAAGGGAGATATGACAACTATATGCAATAATGGGATCCTGTATTGGATTCTCAACAGTGAGGGGACAAAGGTGGAAAAACTAGTGAAATCTGAAATATGCCCTGTTTAATTAGTACAATACCAAGGTTTATTAATTTTAGTAATTTTTTTATGCTTATGGAAGATAGCATGAAGGAAAGCTGGGCAAAGGGTGTACAAAAAGCTACCAAAATTACCTAAAAACATTTAAAAAGTGAGTTCTAGGGTGGATGGCATCTTAAATTCAATGAAATACAGTATGTAGATTTTGAAGCAAAGATACGTAAATTTTGCAAAAGGAGACATTAAAATAAAGTTAGTGGAGACAGTTAATGGAACAAGAACCTGGGGAGTGGTATCAAGAGCACTATCGAAGAGTTAACAAGGAATGTCCTTGTTCTCTTTTAAGATTGGGCAATTGGGAGTGAGAATCCTCAGATTTAGAGGTAGAGAGGTGACCTGATCTCATTAAAGATTGCTGAAAGGGCTATATGTATAGCTTTGTCTGGAAGGGGGCTGTTTGGCCTCTTTTGCCCAATGTAGAGTACATTTTATTTGTTTATTTTAAAGATTTCATTTATTTGAGAGAGAGCGAGCGTGAGCAGGCACAAGCAGTGGAGAGGAAGTGGCCTGCCCATCGAGCAGGGACCTGATGCGGAGCTCTATCCCAGGACTCTGGGATCATGACCTGAGCCAAAGGCAGTCGCTTAACCAACTGAGCCACCCAGGGGCCCCTGTAGAGTACATTTTAATGAGGCTGCCTTTTTGAATTGCATTGATGCTGAGCCATTGTAAAAAACATTGGAGATGAATTGTGGAATTGTAGAGAAGTAGAAAAATGGAAATCTCACAATAACAGCTTGACAAAATTTGTTAAACTATATAGAGGACTATGACTGGTGTAGGGGGAGTAAAAGTGGTTTCCTTCATAACCAGTCTTTAAAAATTCTGTATATTACAGGAGTATTTATGCTGACGCTATCTCAGTCATTTCCATTTCCAGCATTTACTGAGTTACTATTATATTTGCCGTTGTCAACAAATGTTCTTTAGTTATTTTATGTATTTTCTACTTGCTTTTTGAAACATTCTTATTTTAAGTATGTAGGAACTCTTTTTTTCACCTTCTCGATTTCTTTTTTTTTTTTTAATTGAAGTATAATTGACACAGTGTTTTAGGTGTAACAACATAAGGATTTGACAGGTCTGTATGTTATGCTATGCTCATCACAAGTGTAGCTACCATCTGTCACGATACAGTGCTATTATAATGCCATTTACTATATTCCTTATGCTGTACCTTTCATCCCCATGACTTACTCATTCCATAACTGGAAGCCTGTACCTCTCCCCCTTCACTCATTTTGCTCCCCCTACCCCAGCTCCCCTCTGGCAACTACCAGTGTGATGAACTATGTCTTTCTGTGTATCTTAGCTAGATAGACAAAACACGAAGTGCCCATTAGGGATATGTAGAATATTGGCAAGATATATGCAAAATAAAACTTATATGTTTATAAGATAAAAGGAGCGAAATAATGGGTTAAGCCATGTGAAATTGCTGGTATTTGAGTACTTTTGCCTTTTCAAAGGGCGGTTTCATACAATTAAACAAAAAGACCAGTAGTGGGCTATTGATTTCTAATATTGGCAGAGCTGAATACCATTTTTTAAAAAAATGTTTAAAATTATGTTTTTAGAGCTGATGGGAACCACAGCAGTTACTTAATACTCAAGGTTTTGCCTTAGCATAAACTGATGTATTACAAAGAGAGACAATACAGAATCCTTATGGATCACAACAGTAAATATTATAATGACTTTTTTGACATTTGCTATATTACAGTCCTCCTGTCAGGCGCCAGAGAGGAAGAAGGGATCGTCTGTCTCGACATAATTCCATTAGTCAAGATGAAAACTATCACCATCTCCCTTATGCACAGCAGCAAGCAATAGAGGAACCTCGAGCCTTCCACCCTCCGAATGTATCTCCCCGTCTGTTACATCCTGCTGCTCATCCACCCCAGCAAAATGCAGTAATGGTTGACATACATGATCAGGTATAGTAACAGAATGTCCAGAAAATATACAGTGCTAAAAATTGGTGGCAGTTGATTGAGGTTGTTTGTTTTTTTGTTGTAAATTTCTTTTAATTTTACCTAAAAGGAAACAATTTTCCCTAAACTGAAGCTGTTTTAGATAAGTTCATTCTTCTTAAATTCTACACAGCTTAGAAGAAAGTTGAACTTTAAAAAATTTGGAGCAAGGTTATAAGCTCAGAATGGTTTCATGTATTGGTTGGAAATCACTGATAACAAGATTAATAGGAGATAACAGCTGGTTTGAATACACATTTCTATTTTCCTCTCCCAGTTTCTTCTGGACAATTTGGTAGGCAAAACAACTGGGTGCTTTGCTGATAGGTTTCCATGGGTCTCCAAAGGAATGACAGGTAGAAGGCTTCATTTCCCTTTGTTCTTGCTAGGAACTGAGGGACTAGTCGAGAAGAGGGCTTGTCGGTCTTCAGAGCCTGAGAGTAAAGACCAAAATTGTTTGGATTTCTGTGGAGTTTCTGAAGTCAAAAAAGCCACAAATCTAGATATATCTAATAAAGTTGCTGAATTTTAAAAATAAGGGAAAAGTCTTTAAAGTTTGTAGACAGGAGATATTAATAAAGGAGAGAAACTCAAACTACCATTCATTTTTTCAACTGCACTAGATGATAGGAAACAATGAAAAACACTGTATATTGACAATTGAAAGAAAATATGATCTCCCCCAGGCACCATCTTCTGTCAGATGTGTTCTACCCTGTTAATCAGACACTTTAAAAAATTGATCACACAGTAAGAAGTTCTAAAAAGAAAAATTTTTCTAGACCACATTCTTTGTGGTCATAATCTGATAAAACTATAAATCCTAAGTTTAAAAATGACACTGAGGGGCGCCTGGGTGGCTTAGTCACTGGGCGTCTGCCTTCGGCTCAGGTCGTGATCCCAGGGTCCTGGGATCGAGCCCCACATCGGGCTCCCTGCTCCGCGGGAAGCCTGCTTCTCCCTCTCCCACTCCCCCTGCTTGTGT